AAAAAAAAAAACATACCTTCGCATGGTCTTATTCGGTACTTGTGAAAGCTTTCGTGGTCAGTCCGTTCTTCATATCTACCGCCTTTTGCCTAAAACTGTTATCAATGAAATTCTTATCAAGTCATTATCAACAGCTGCTAACGATTCGCAAAGCTTAAAATTATATATAAAAGCATTGAATTTCAGCTCGTAATCATTAGTATTTTCTATCAGCACTTAGCGGTACATTTGTCACGGAAATAAAATGAAATCCATCGTTCTAATTTGTTTACTTTTTGCGGCCATCAAAGCCTCACATTCGGCTAGCTCAACCTGGGGTGTACGTAATGTTACCGATACTCTATTTCTCAATGAAAATGCGTTTTACCCAGCTAAACCGAGGCAAGCTCAGATCGTTTACTACGATATAGTAAGTACATAAGTAATTAGTAGCCAGTGTTTTAATTGTAATATTAACATGTAAAGATTTTTGTGTTCATTTGACTTTTTTCCTTTGTAGTACCAAAACAATAACAGAGTAATAAGCGCCATTTACCTTCAAGATCAATTTAAAAACAGTACGGGCCCAACAAATACCTTGGTTTCGGGAGGCCCGGGTTACACCTATGCATCTGTACAAATGACAACATCTACCAGCATTGGCCTAAATGTAACTTTTGTTGTTTATGTCAAATAAATGCCAAATAAATTATAAATTGAGCGCTTAGTTTGTAGTATAACTTTTAAATCTCTTAAATCTCTAAAAGGGCCCTTTGAGACAGCACATCAGCTGTCGATTAACTGGAAGCCGGAACATTTGTAGTACTGTTTCGATACTAGTGCTTAAAAAGAAAAGACATAAATACTCAAAGTTGTCTCTTAAGTATTGAGTATTTCTGGTATTTAGTTGGAGTATCGAGTGTATTGTGAAGTTGTTTACAAATTTGCAATAGTATTTGCTGGTTGCCTCAATTTGAGTTGCATTTCAAACGAACCTTCGAGGAAGGGAACCTCTCTCTCTCTCTGACATCAACATAATTCATCATGCAGGGATACTATCAACTACCTGGACGTCATGGCTTTAATCACACTTTTTCGAGAAGGAAAATACAAGATGGGCGACAGAACTCACTTCTAGGACGATCTGACTAAAAAAAAAACAAATAAAGCCCACGGGCGTTATTTCCATTTCGAAGGGGAAATAGCACCCTCCAATAAAAGGCAATAAATGCAGCGGGCTTTATTTCCGAAAGAGCAATAATGGCCGCGGGATTTATTTCCCAAAGAAAAGGAAATAGCGACCGCTTGATTTGTTTCATAAAAACAGGAAATAAAGCCTCTGGCTTTATTTTACTGAAACATTCCAAATCGAATGGTATTTTGCCTCAGTAACTAAGTACTTTTCTACTTGGAAATTTAGCAACTCCTAAATAGCGAAGTTTTTTTTTTGCTTGAGTATTGAGAAAACTCCTAAATAAACTAAGTTTTTTTAATTAACTATTCAGACATCTCCAAATACTAAGTATTAGAGTATTTTGTTACCAAACCAGTACTTTTAACCACCATTACTGCTATAAACCAGTTTAAGTTTTTCGTGGACAATCCTAACATATCCATCTAACTATATGTATATCTTACCAATTCATTTCGTTTTCACTTTCTATGTCTTAATAGTTTCAGTCCATGAAATATACTTATGGCGGAAGGTTGAAATTTGTAGCTTACGAATTTTATTACAAGTAACCTGTTACCACATTAGTGAGATTAGTGTAATATATTGCTTGACCAATTCGACCCGTAGTAAATAGTTAATACAAAATATTGTTTGTGATTTATTTTATTGTATTGTAAATGTTTTGAAGGCGGAAGAATAGAGGCCCACAATGAGTATTTATAGTTCTGTTTATGAGCCACAAAACGCTAGCCCTCAATTGCAATGCTCATGCAATTCATGAGCAAAATTGATTAAACACTCAACAACTGGGAACGCTAGACTTTGTTGCAATAGTAAGTATGTATTTAATTGTATGTAGGTATGTAATTTATAGTTGCAGCAGTGTATGTGTGGGTGGTTATAAGAAATCCATTTCGAAGCTATGATTTGTCATCTATGTAGTAAGCTTTTTGATGGAAATTTGGGCAAACACTTAGGGTGCCTTCAAGTGATAGTCGGCCACTTTATCAATATTGGAGAGGTTAGCGGGAAAAACGTGAGTAATGAATATTGAGTGGGATGAAAAAGGGACCATGCTTTTGTGGTTGCATGACACTAGACTGATTAGTAATAGTTGCAATATGTTACTTACGTGATAGTCAAGCATAAATCGAAGCTGCGGTAATAAAATTTACGACAAAATATTTGCAGCTAAACGAAGTCATGGGGCTTCTACCGAATAGCCACATAAATATACTATGCATGATAAATAAATGTGTGTGCCTTAGCACTAAAATAAAAGATAAATGTGCCTTTTACCCTAAACATTTAAGCCCCCACTCGTTGGCACAAGCGATTTCTACCACAAAGCCATTGCAAAATACTTTTGTAAGAAACCGCAGTAAACGCTTTAATGCATCCCTCACGTACTGCATAAATACATTGAACTGGAGTACAAATCGCAAACAGCCACCTTCTTGACTTTGAGGCAGCCTTTGTCAATAGCAGAGGCAAAAGTGGAAGCAGACGACACTGATTGCCTTCCGAAAGACAACAAAAAAACAAGTAAACAAATAGCCAACACATAAAAGACAATGACACTTTTTGCTTCCGCTATTCCTTTGACACCACAAGTCTATGCCAAACGGGGCCAGACATTAATATGTGCCTGTTTTAAACGGCTAGTGCTATGACTTTTGTTGTTATCTACTGCTAACTGTTTTGGAGTATCAAACGATATGTGTGTCTACCTGCTGTTGGCATTGGTGCTACTGCTGTTGGTGTCAAGACAGACACACACGCAACAGCACATTCAGAGCGCCCACAATTGCTCTGCTCCCAAACCCATTGCTCTTTATACAGACCGAAGTGTTCAGCAATTCAAACACTCGCTGAAAGTCGTTTATTTCGACGCTTGTATTTAATGTGTGGTTTTTATGGCCGCTACAAGCAAGCGCTAGCTTTGTGGTGCATTTATCACCAAAGCACTAAGCGAGGAGACGCACAGCCATAACGTTTGGGAGTGCATTCAGCGTAATACAGGTAATTACCGCAATCATTTTGCACTAATCCCAATAAATTAAAAGAAATTCAAGTCGCACAGTTGAGACAAAATGAAATAATGTATGTAAGTAAGCAAAAGTACGCAGGTTGCAGCAATTTAAGTGTGAAATATTTGCACTGTATGCAATTTAAAGTGCTTGAGGTGAAGTGTCGCCAAATTTTAACGTTTATCAGAAGCTTAAAAGGAAGAGGAAATAAAGAAGTGTGACTTCTTTGTTGCTTGAAACGATTACAAAGTTTTCCAATGCTTCATTTCAAAGTCACGTTCTCTACATGTGATTAAAAAAAAAATCGAAAATCCGATACACTTGCGTGTCATAGCAAATAGGCGCTCAGGAATGTGGCAAGAGTGCAAGTTTCGCAACATTAATCGAATAAATACGTGGATGTGGCGTCGCTAGGTCACAAACAACGTAGCAAGAATAAACAGCAAAATTGGTTAGTAAAAGAGCAACGTATTCGACAAAGAGAGGAAACATGCAGCTAGAAATGTTCGGCGTTGTAGAATTTTACGTGGCAAAGGGGAATAGCAGGAATATTTAAAAGGTAACGAGGCGACTGATTGTTTAATCGAATGCAGATAGACACATATTATTGTCTTGCCCAAAGCGATTCTAGGTCCAAATTTTTTTTCTTTGAAGCGTTTCTAGTTTTTATTGCCATATATTTATTGCTGTTGTTCATTATATGGGGATTCCAGATTATTACATTTGAGAAATTAAATTAATGCATTTTTTTTAACCAAATTAAAAGTGGCTTCAAGATTTTTTTTCGATAGCCTGCAGCGTTATGTTTCTTCCAAACAATAATTATCTCGAAAATCACTCAAAGCGCACTCATCTGTTCGACATCAGTTAAAAATTTTCGTTGTTCATACATATTGATTTTTTGAAGTGGAACTTTTTTAGCGGCGGTTGGTTGGTTGGGAGTAAATTGGCAAATTCAACGGATATTGCACACGGAAATGATTGGGTCGGAATCAAGTGCTTCTTAAATGTATGCAAATGGTATTAATTTAACAAAAACTTGCTAATAAAAGGTGAGTACGTAAATAGATAAAGAATAGGATAAAGACAAAGGTAAAAATAAAAATAAAAACAAAAACAAAGACGCGTAAAGATAAATGCAAAAATGAATATCAAAATAAATTTAAACAATTTACGAATATGTATACGGGCAAAGTTGAAGGGGAATGTGTAGATGAAGAAAATGATAAACATAAGGGTATATACAAATAAAAATATTAAGAAAAAGACTAGGATGAGGATACCGAAAAAAGTAAAGATGCAGATAGAGGAAGAAAGGATATAGATAGAGACACACACTCAACCTGGCGACTATTTCGGGATTTTCGGCATTCTCGGGACTTACCGATATAACAATCGATATCTTTAATCGATTTTGTTATCGGTATTTTTTATCGATTTGGGTATCGATATTGTTAATCGATATTTTTATCGATTTTTTAATGGATTTTTAATCGAATTTGATATCGATATTTTTATCGATTTCGTTATCAATATATTTATTGATTTGGGTATCTATGGTTTTATCGATTTCGTTATCGATATTTTAATATATTTTGTTGTCGATATTTTTTATTGATATTTTTATCCATTTTGATATTGAAATTTGTGTCGATTTGTGTATCGATATTGCTATAGATTTTGCTATCTACATTTTTTTCGAATTTGTAATCGATAGCTTTATCTGTTTTGTTGTAGATATTTTTATCGATGTTACTATCGATTTTGTTATGGATGCACATGATGTGACATAATATGAACAAACATCACATGATATGACATCATTTGGCATGACATGAAATCCTATCACGTCACTTCACATTATATCACATAGCATCTTATCACGTCATCGCACCTCACATCATCTAGGAGAATATATGCATCGGTGAAGAAAAGGATAAAAGCAAAGACATAAAGGATAAAAAACAAAGATATGTAAGCCACGATGTAGGGAGACAGAGGTGGCGCAATCAGCAGTACCGCTACTTTCTTCTTGGCGAATTTGACAGAATCAGTTGTTCGTGTGATGTCATTTTAGCAAACTGTTTGTATGTATGCAGATATGTTTATATGTATGTAAATATGGTGACCTCCATGGCTTGACAGTTAACACTCTTTCTCTCCTCCATCTCCAATTACTCTTTCCTATTCGTTGCTATCTTGACGTCATCACCCGCAGGAATGCGCAATCTTGTATTCTATCATTCTTGGATGTAAGCCAGATATGCAATGTAAGTTTCACTTCTCCAGTGTGGCCTAGGCGCACTTACTTTTTTCGATCAAAGTCAGTTTACAGTTCACCTAGCATTGCTGGTCTTGCGAAGATCTGGAATTTAGGCAGCTTTAAATTCGGAGAAAAGGTTATGAGAATCGATTTATTTATTTATATTATTCGGATCAGGTTTGAACGCAAATTCAAAAGACCCAATTCCATTCGTCAATGCGGATTTAGGC